ACCTATCAGGAACTATAGAACTATTGTGGGTGCAAATGGAACTCATGTCAAAACTTGCGGTGCTAAAAAATGAGGTGCCAACTTCACGCACGCTCATCAGATGATACGTTTTCACAGTTTCCGTAGTCCACATCCGTTTTGATAGCCATGGAGATGTTAAGTATCAAAACAACATATAATATTTGGTTTAGGCATGTTGTATACATTATCGTTTGGAATATATCTGCCAAAATAATTTACATGTTAGATAGGAAAACAATCCACAAATAAGTATAAATTCAGGAACTCATTATATACTTTGTCTTTTCTATTATAGCGAAAGGAGGAAAAGAAATGGAAAGATATAGTACAATATCTTTTACAGAAACAGCAGAATATGTTTATACTGAAAAATATATCGACATTCGTCGATAAGCCAAAGTAAAAGTATCGTTTCATTTTCATATCATTGACATATATGAAAAGAGATCGAAATAATATCAACGATTATATATTCTCTATAGAGGACATTCTTAAGAAGGAAGAAATGTAAATTTTGGATATAATTGATTTTGGATATAATTGAAACATAAAGAGAGTACACAGCAATAATATGGATATATGGTCTGAAGAACTCTTTGCTAATCGGAAAATCTAAACGAAACCCAATAAAATATAACGCAACGGCACCTTAGGTAGTTAAAAATGAGAAAAATACAAGGACAAATTTGATTTTAGAATATCCTGCAAAAAACAATATATTGTAGGCAAAGTAATAAATGATATATCGAAGAATATAGAAGTTAAAGAGTTGTACAATTATATAAGTAATGCAAAAGGCCATTAGAAATGATGCAAAACTAAAATGCACGAGTGTGTACATTGAAAGAAGTTTGTAATGCACAGTAAAAGTTTAAGAAAAAATATTGCGACTCTCAGGTTTTCTTACTTGTAGATAATTTTCTGCGTATTTACGATTGTTCTATCTTATCCTTTCGATGTATTATTTCTGACTCATGATAACTCTAATACGTGTTGTTGTTATATATTATATAACAAATATAACAACAAATATAACCTAAACGTGAATATCTCATGTAAATCGCTTGTGTTTAATTAGATATAATCATCCCTGCAGGCAAGCACTAATTTTCAATTCGAAATTATCTTTCACATATACCTGTATTGAAAAATATGCTAAATTTCTTCATATTTCCTTATATTCTCTTAGACTTTCTATAAAATTTATACACATATCTTTCATAGAAAATTTTCGAAACTTTTACATAAAATAGAATATAGTTCTTAAATACTGCGTTGAAAAAATTGAAACAATATTTTTCCCTTAAATTTCATAAATTTTTTTCAGATACATTTCTGAGAATATCTTTAATATTTTTACAGAATTTCATATATGTCTCAAACATATGCTTTGATTAAAATTTGAGATTAAAAAATATTTCAATGTTACTCGTTGAGATTAAAAATTCGAAATTTTTACAATATTTCTGCTCTAATTTTCCATACATATTTTGAGATACCAACATTATTCAGAATATTTTCAATATTTGTACAAAATTTTATATCTATCTTAATAATGTGTTTTGATTCAAGTATTAATTGTGAAATATACGTTTTGTTTAATCACTGAAAAGCTCTTTGATCTAGACAATTTATGCAATTTATACGCTTCAATTATATCATATTTTACAAGATATCTGAATTATCGTGCTAATGATTACGTTCAATTAAAAGATGACATGTACTAAATTCCTATTAAAAATAATGATTTCTCGAAACGTCATATGAGCACTATTCAATATTATTTTATATAAAATGAATTATATTGCTGTGTATGTATGTATGTGTGTGTGAGCATATGAGTATGTGGCAAAATAACGTAACTAACAATATCGACAATAACAATCGTGATAATTTTAAAGATCGATTACCGAATCGTGATTATTACCATTTCCAATATATATCTTTTTGTACAGTCTACAAGCATCTTGTTCATTTCAAACATTGCCATTATTTTTCTATGTTATCACAGTATATTCTAAACATGCCGTCCATTCGATATAGTTGCAGATAAATTAACAAATAAAGAAGATTGTCATTTTTAGTTTATAAACAGATATTTATAAGATATATATCCTTTGAAAAGTATGAGCTTCTCCAAAAAGTTATTCTTTATTCAAATCTAAACAGCATGGCCGAAGTTATAGGGCGCCAAAACACCATATATTGAATTAACGTATTTGATGTTGCAAATTATAGAAATCAATTTAACTGATATGATTAAAACAGAGTGCAGACGAAAGAAAAGTTGCTTCAGCTCCGAAAATAATGAAATAAGCGCATGAAAGAGAGAGAAAAGTGAAATATAGGAAAGAATGTTATCACAGTATATGGCGACTTTTTATACAACAAAGTCGAGTAACATTGAAATATTTTTGAACAAAGGTTAGTCTGAAATTTAAAAAAAAATATATATTATCCTAATGAACTCTATATATAGTATCCAAAAAGTATAAGACCGGAAAAGTTTTTCCTAATGAAGCTTTTTCTCTTAAAAAGCAGTCAAAATCAATTCTAGAATGAAACTAGATTTATAAGATAAATTAGAAGATATATTATGTGAATGACACATAAGAAACATATTCGAAAAATCATTTGTTGTCAGTGCTTTCGAGAAACAATGTTCAACTTCCGATATCTCGGGATAAGAGTTTCAGATCGCCATGAGTTTGATACATTTGACTTCTCTGGGTACACGCTTTCATTTAATACTTGTTACACATTCAATTTCATTTGTAGGCCAAAAACCACTTGTTTTAGGCAATTTCCTTTGCATGTTGGAATTATTAATGTAAATTAATATATATTATATTAATATATACAATATAAATACATATATATTAATATAAATGTTTAAGTTAGAGTTAATAAAGAAATTTTACATAATTTATTGAACAACAATAGCAATTAATATGTATATATTCGCGTATGATTATCTGAATATACATGCAAATTCAAAAGAACATATATGTTACTGTTTACAGATATAATGTATCGAGATGGTTTGTGATTTACTGCATAACATACATCAACATGAAAATTCTCTCAGCGGCTCGATTTGCTGCCGACTCATACGCTGATTGGTCCAGTTATAAAAATAGTTTAACTTTGTCATGCCCAAATATTATTTCAAGAAATAAAACTGTGTAAATGCTTTATTCAATTTATTATACCGAAATTCAATCAGCTCATTGAGTTGATCTTTAAGTGTCACGTTCATAAATTTCAACCTTCTTGTATAAGTCGTTATCTGTAACACATAATTTTCACATGTATCAGCAAATAAGCAACAGCAGTTTAGCATGGCATGGTAAAAATAGACCGCCTGCTTAAAAGATTCAATATAATTTCACCAGAAACATCAATTGAATCGTACTTTTGGATCGTAAAACGTGATAAAATTACATCAAAAAGTATGTTTATTTAAAATGCTTAATTGTTTAATGCAAATAGTCGTTAAAAGTATGTTGTAGTATAAAATAAAAATGAAATTAATAATTTCTTCATATAAACTAAAATGTGAGAAATTGAAATTTCCGATAGGCATAATGAGTTTAAATAAAGTAACATAGCATTCCAATAAAAAATCATATATTTTTTTATTTTATTTTTATGTACTTTTATCATTTTTAAGCAGGACCGTCACACAATACATCGAAAACAAACAAAATTAATAAGAAAACAGGAATAAATAAATATAGAAGATAGAAAAAAATGAAAAATTTACCATATTGAGACTGCTCTTAGAATATATAGTTCCGATGGCTTCTCTGAACAATTTCACTAGATTTAAATTGTTGCCTGTATAAATCCTGTAACATCAGAAAACATCAAATGCATTATTACCAAATGCAATTCGCTCTCATGATCATACAAATTAAATATATTTAGAAAGAAAAGCTCACTTGTCATTTATGTTGTCCAGATTATTTATGAAAATCGCAAGCATAATATCGTTATTTGCGTGCCTCTTAAATAAAGTATGAAAAAGCGTCAAAGATCCTGTTTCTTTTATGAACTCATCTACTTCCATTTCCCCCAAAAGCATTTTCAAATAATTTTCGAGGATGATTTCATTGTGAACGCAAGACAAGTAAGTTAAGCACGTCTTATTTCGCTCTCTAATACACTTCGCCATCCACTTTTGCCAAAAGTGCATAGATAACTTCTCCATACCTGTGCAATATACCCATTCCCTCCACCACGATGGAATCCTGCAGCGCACAGCAGAAAAATGCAAAGAATTTGATCCTCAATCTCGTATCTTGACTCAACTAATAATCAAACAAGCTACGAGAGATACGCGGAAAGTGTGTTTAAAAGCAAACATATACAAAAATTACACGTACGGTATGTCAGGCTGTCTGAGATGCTTGATCAATTCATTCTTGGCAACAATCTTGCATTTTATACTACCCAATCCACAAGCCCACCTCACTGCTAATAACCTTAACGATCTTGTCATACCATCTTCGTTAAAGTATTCTTCATATCCTATTTTTTCCAGAAGATTTTCTAATAAAATCTTAATGAACACCTACAAACAGTTTAGTAATACAGTCACAAATTGTATTTTCTTTCTTGTTAACATATTCGCTACCGCGCTTAAATTGAAAATTGCCACAGACCAGATTATATTTTTAGTAGCTATACTTAATATATTAATATAGAGTATATTTGCACTTTCGCAGACATAAAATATATTAAATAAGTTAATTGAATGTTTTACATAATATGTCACACATATGTGTGTGTACTAGTGAGGAATTAGTGTCTCACATGTGTGTAGCGGACGTATTAAAGTAATTGGTCTGTGAACTTACATTATCAAGGGAATCTTTTCATATATTATATTTTTTCATATAATAGCATATTACTAGAGACACAATTATAACACATATTTATAACTAGAAAGAGATTAACCATATCAAAACTGAAATAAATAAAGTAAAAAAGTTAGCAATATTTACATATTTGTGTCGCAGAAAGCGATCTCCGATACCACGTTTTTAATTTTAACGAGCAAATTATTTGTACGTTTTTAATAAGAAAACGAGAAAATAATAAAAAAGATTCATAGAAAAGTTATAAAAAATACAAACCTTGACAATGTCAAAGAAATTAGTATGTAATGTCTCTAATGTCCAAGAAATTAGTATGTAAAGTACATAATTTTTTACTACGATTGAAGTATATAACAGCTAATCAGTATCTAGCAATCTTATATTGTAAGGCAACAATACAGTACGTTAATACGCGAGAAACAATTATTTCCTTATAGATTTTTAAACATCATGAAAGTTTAATTGATTTTATATTGCTGCATATTATAAAGCGTATTTATTAGGTATTTCAGTTAATTTTGAAGGTTATGAAGAATCGCAAACGTAATTGGATGAAGATTCAACTCAAACGCTCTTAAGTCTTTTAGAATCTTTTTAATAATAAGTTTTTTTCTATCGTGGAATCCACTTATTGCTACAAAGAGGGAAAAAGATAGTAGCAAACGATAGAAAATATTTTGATTGAAATACAATATATAATTCTTTTTAATAAATGCGTTTTTTTAACCAAAGAATCCTTAAAATTAACCGGAATCCCTAATATAAATATTCCGCACAAATTTGTCGAGCTCTTTCGCGCATTGTATTAATTGTTATCACTTCAATAGTAGTGTCATGGACCAACTAGTTTAAACAATTCGAATATAGATACGTTTAGCAGAAGCATATTCGTATTGCTTATGAATGGAACACTGTAGAAACTCTACAATGTACTTATATAACGATACACATAAAAAACTAGATAATTAAGTCTTTTGGTGAAACGATATTACCACTTACTTTGATCTCTTCAGCTTCTGGTAATTGAAGATATATCGACATGCGCGACAGAATGTTAAACATAGGATACCATGCTGTATAACTCTTTTCCCGCGACAGGTAAAGGATAAGATTAAAAAATGTATTGGAGTTGAGTTTTCTCTGCATCACGAAATAAAACGCGTCGTCGATGAGTTGAGCAATATTGACGATAGGTATGAGTACGTCACTTTCCTGTTCACTTTCGTGGCTTAGATAATTAATAATTTTGTTCCAATTATTGGTATCGTAGTTGACGCGATAATATCCTGCAAATCAGAAATGATCTTTGTTATCAAGTTGGCTGGTTTAGATCATATTTACCGAGGAATGCCTTGAATATCAGTTTTGCTATTCAATTGTACGGAATATTTTTTAAATAATCGACACGTGAAGTTATATAAGTCTAAAAACGCGGCACAGCACTTAACGAATTAATATAGAATATACGCAAAGCGTAACGAATTTGTCAATTAATCTTCACCAGATTGTTCCAAGTTAAATATGATGAAATCATGTGTAAGAATCTCAGAGATAGTTTTGATCTCCCCACACTTCAGCCAAGTAACATTCCAAGTATGGGCAGAAGTGAGATCCGACTGCGTGATATAAGTTATAGGAATTATGCTGGAGTTGGAGGTACAGTTTGTCGAAATATTTATCGTTTCCTTATCAAAATTACGAGTGACGTACACTTCTGGAAAGTGCTCCATTGTTAACCACATGTCCATTATTTCTTTCACTGTACAGGGCCACTTCTGCTTTCTTGCATGAACGCATCTTTGCAAATATTGCCAGAGATTGTCGGGTTGGAACAAAGCATTGTCACTAAATCGGCAAAATTTAAAAAATATAAATTTTCTCACAAATCAAATTAAAAAGACTCTTAATTGTTTTGTTTAACTTTGTTACGTGTGTAACGTGACTTATATAATTTAACGAATACTTCTCAAATTCGATTGAACTAATCATAAGAGATTCATAATTTAATCAAACAACACGCAACACACATAACATAGAGTTTATCCATCATACTCTTAAGTATAATTCTACTTATCAAGTATAATTAGTATGAATTGTAATACAATACATTGTGCATTACTCACACATCAGTGAAATACGTCTGGATAGCAATTTGAAAGTCATCCGCGGTGAATAAGTAATACAACATGCGTATTAAGATGACTCCTACAATAATCCATACGAAAAATAATAAGAGATCAATATGACTTATGTGATACATTGCCTACAACATTTGACTTCTTGTAAAATTAATTTCGCACGTTTTACACTTCACTTTCCTATCGAATTATATCGTCAACATATTTATATTCCGCGCGTGTGGAGTATCCCATATACATATAAAATACAAATAAATAAATTGTTTTATCACATAGAAGAAAATATGTGGTGTATATAATCAAAAATATTTAGTAGTTAGCAACATAGTTACATCACCCTATTACATCACCTTAAAATGCAACTTGCGAGACCGGAACATTTTCTCTTCCACGCGCCATTTCTTTTCAGTCGTAATTAAAGAAATAAAATTACTGTCAGATTCAAAGTGACGATTACTTTAATAAATACGGTAAAATTACGATAAGATAATAAATTGGTAATTTACTATATGTATTATTGGTAATTTTGGTAAAATTCGTTGTTTTTGATAGTTTTATGCACAAATATTCGTATTTTCTACACTATGCATAAGATAAAACAACATTCTTCTTATATTCTCATCAAATGTACACCTGATAATCTCAGCTCTCAGATAAATATCTCTCAGATGAAAGAAAGAAAATTATTTACAATCCTTCGAGAGTATCAAAGTTTTCATTTTTTTAAATATTACTAAAAGTTTTCAATTATATATCACAGTTGCTGAAACAACAAAGTAATAAATGAAAATACTGTAAGCCTGTAAGATAGTATGAAATAAAAATCAAATGATATGAATGAAGTGGTATAAATGAAACTATTTTAGAGACATGAAAGATGTAGATTAAGACTTTAAACATTTTTTTAAATTTCTTTAGTTATTTCTCTAGTTATATCTAGTTACTATATACCTAGCTTCCTAATTACTATATACTATATATAGTATATCAATATATAGTATCAAAATATTTTATGGAAAATATGAGTTAAATAAAATGTCTTTTTCATCTAAGGCTAAATGTTCCTTTTGAGCTTTATATTAACCCTTTTTCTCTGTAATTTTTTTCTAAATTATTATTTCTAAATTATCAGTTTTCTGAAATCACCGAGTAATTTATCAAATAAAAAAGTTACCGTCAGACTGAGTCATTTTTACCTCTAATTGTGATCATTCGATTATGCGTCAATGAAAGAAAAGCTTGAATTATATTGATGTTTTTTCTTCTGTGTTTACAAAGTGCAAATTTAAGTCGCGACATTCGCGGCGCGAAATTAAACAATGTGTCCTTCGATCTCGCGTTTTGTAAAAACACAGAAAAGAAAACATTAATATAGTTCGAATTTTTCTTTCATTGACGCCCGACTGAATGAAGAGGAATAGCGCATAGAAAAGGAAGCGTTTCCCCCAGCTCCGCAAATTGTATTCTAGATTTCATGTTCTCCGAGTATACATCAACTATATCAATATATTTGCGCATTATTTGGTTGTGGCAACCAGAAATCGGTTGTTGTAATATTTACTATGAACATTTACTCTGGTTCAAGCCATCAGAGAGCGTCACTGCTGCAACACCAGCAATTCCTCTATAGTTCCTCAACAATTCCTCAACAATCACATAATTAATTATTCCGCATTTTACCATTGAATCTAATTGGCACAACCAGATTTATGTGTCGGCCAATCATACTGTTTTTCTCCGTATTAATCACTCGCCTTGCTTTCGAAATATTAGCGTTTAAATTTTACAAACGATCTATCAACTGTGTGCAACCAGTATTACCTTTGTTACGGTACATGGGAAAGTAAAGGTCCTTTTCGAATTTATCGTCAATGTCAATTTCATGTAAAACAGGCTTCATCCTAAGAGCAAAGTCTTGACGAAGAGCAGACTGCACCATTTGAACCGCGTAAAGATCCCTTATCGATTTGCTTTGCAGCTTCTAAAAGATAATACAATATTCATTGAGTGAATATATAATATCGACAAAGCTGCCAGTAGAACCAGCAGTATTAACACACGTTATCGCGCCAAAACTTAAAATTATTTACAAGGACTTAAAAATTGTGATATTCCTGATACGTTCTAACCATAAATCACATTTATTAATAAGTATGAAATAACCTCTGTTATGATATGATTAAGAAACGACGCAAACATCTCGATAAACAAAAAATTAGACCACGAAGACGGCCTGCTTTCTGCACCGAACCATTGGCGCGCCATTTCTTGTCCTAGCATATTCCACACGCTATTGTTGCGACCAGGATAGTCTGAATGTACATTGTATGTAAAATCTTGTTCTCTGCAAAGTATATAAATAATAGGTTTATGTCGGAGGGATTTCCTAAATGCAATACAACACAATGTCCATAATATACAGTAAAACTATATTAATAATTCGAAGATCTCAGCAAATATGAATCTTTCTGAACTATGAGTCTAACAAGCTCAAAATTAATTATGCTCATTAATGGAGTTATAGTCGTTTTTATGACTCTGCCGCGTGTGTGCGTGAATATATGCGCGCTATCGAATTCTATGAGTATTAAGAATCCATTTGACTACCGACAATTTAGATGGCAGCCTAAATAATATCTGATATTTGTCGTACCAACGCTGGTGTCCAATTAGAACACACTAAACTGAATAGAAACAATTCTTTACCGTTCTGCAATGTTCGAACGGCGCGTAATATCGAACTATACTGTATATAGTCATCGTTGACGATAAATCATGAACAAATCAAAGGCGTCTTCCTCGAGAAATTCCTACAGAGCTCGTCCTATCGCTTAATTGTGTGCACTGATTTTTTCGCTGATATATTCTCGAATTTCATAACTATCATGAGAAGGTCGTAAACGGTGGGACTTTCGTGTTGAATTTAATCGACTCTATCTGTCACGTAGGTACTGTTCGGTACCTGTAATTGTTAGAAACCTGCATACCTGTAAATAACGAGTCCAGGAAATCCTCTGATCTTCATAGAAAGATTCGGAACTATAACGTGGTCCGTTTTCGGCGTTTCTTTGAGCATTACAATATAGCTGTCAAATGTTCTCTTGCACGCTTCAATCGCGGCAAACATATGCTTTAAATACTTGCCCACTTGCTGTCGATACCACATAGTCGTCCCAGCATTCGTAGGACTCGATTCTTTGTTCAGATACTGGACCAACGCAAGTCCCACTTCATAAGGAGCTATCCTCAGAGACGTGTCAAAATATGTCCTCCTCATGCCGTCTTTTTCGTCAACCGTGTGCGATATTGGCATATTCGACAAAACCGTATAGTACGTAGGATGGTTCAATGAGATGTTAAATCGTGCTTTTGTCCACGGATTATCCCAGCACGGAAACACTTGGCGCGCCAAGTTCAACTCATGTCCTACCGTGGGCGACCTATTCCGTTTCAATAACATCCATCAGATAACGATTAACCCCTTGAGTGTGTGGTGAAAATAAGACTTCCGCGCCACCATTGTATGAGAAAATGTTTCTTTTTACATTTTTGCTACGACTTTAGTATTAAGGTTTTCGAGGTTGCTGAATCCGAACATGATATCAGAATTTCAAAATTCAAAATGGTGAATCTAGTATATATGGCGGATCAAGATATAAAAAACCAATTATTTGTCCAACTTTTGATCCGCCATATTGGATCTGCCATTTGGAATTTTGAGATTCAGATATCATATTTGTATTCAGCGACCTCGAAAACCTTAGTACAATCATTTTTATAAAAATCCAATTATTTTTCTAACTTTTGATCAGCCATACTGGATCTATCATTGTGAATTTTGAGATTCTGATATTATATTCGGATTCAGAGGTCTCAAAAACTGTAAAACACCAAGCTTTATACAAATCGCAAAAGGATAAATCGGTTTTTTTTTTAATATATATATATATATATATATATATATATATATATATATATATATATATAT